TGGTGGCTCACAGCTGTAGTCCCAGCTACTTGGGAGGCTGAGGCTGGAGAATCCCTTGAACTGGGGAGGCGGAAATTGCAGTGAGCCAAGATCACCCCACTGCACTCCAGCCTGGTGACACAGCGAGGCTCCATCTCAAAAAAAAAAAAAAAAAAAAAAAAAACTGAGAAGCAGACTGATACACAGCAATGCAGCAATGCTATCTCACATAGGCACATCCAGAACTCCAGCGAGCAGGGTGAAGCATGGTGTCATTTGGAGGAGATTTTGAACTGGTTTTATTTTTGTAAAATTTTAGCTAATACTGAAGAAAGATTCCAGGGTGGATTAAATTGCTTTGGATTTTTGCTATGTCAAACTCGCCTGGTTCATTGCAGCTTCCCGTGCAGGGCTGGGTTTAAGTTGGCCAGTGCTGATTTTAGGTCTCAGGTGGTGGGGGGTGTGAGTGAAGGCAAAGGGCTGCAGAGCTGGGGCTACTCCGGTTCAAGGGGAGTCAGGAAGGCCGAGAGTGGAAGAGCCAGCAAGTCCGTTCCTTCTCAATGTCCTGGCCACAGAGGCTGCGAGGCACAGGGCCCTGAGGTCTTGATTCTGCGTCTCTTGGTTGACACAGGAGAAGTCCAAGTGCCAGCAGAAGCCACGGGCATTCAGTGAGACCCAGTCCCTGCTACTCACACTCCCCTGGTCCTCGTGGCTCTGGGCTAGGGCTCTGTAGCACATAAAGCGAAAGAAGACACTTGTCTGCAGGCAGCTGACCCTCTCTGGGGTCAGAAACAGACACAAAGAGACAAGGACACGAACAACACCCACGTGAGTTCCCTGGGGCTGCTGTAATCATTGCTACAGACTAGGGGCTTGAATCAACAGAAATTTATTCTTCCACAGTTTAGGATGCCAGAAATCCAAAATCAAGGTATGAGCAGCAGAGATGGTTCCTCCTAGAGGCTGAGGGAGAGCCCGTCATGCCTGGTCCAGAATCTGGTGGTGCTGGCAGCTCTCGGTGTTCTTTGTCATATGGGCATCACTCCGACGCCTGCCTCTGTCACCCATCACGCAGCCAGTGCCACCCACCACTTGCTCCCCACGTGAGGAGTCTCTGTGTCTTCCTGTGGTCTTCTCATGAGGACAGCCAGTCCTTGGGTTTAGTACCCACTCAAATCCAGGATGATGTCAGCCCAGGTAATTACATCTGCATTTATTTCCAATAAGTCTACATTCGGAGGTCCTGGGTGGACTTGAGTTTTGGAGACATTACTCAGCTCAGGACGCTGCCAATGAGATACGGTGTGGGGTCCCTCTCCAGAGGACAGATGACCAGTGGCGGGCTGGAAGTGGCCACAGAAAAGGGAATTGGGGGCTAGGAAGGATGGGAGATGGGCTGTGCAGTGTGGGTGGGGTCCTACCAGCTGGAGGATGGTGGACACAAGAGGAGAGACACAGGCTTGGGGAGAGCTGGTCACTGTCAGGGACCAGTGATTCCAACTGACCAAGCATTCGGGGGATGCTTGGTTGCTGAGCTCAGCCTCCCTTGTTCACACCTTGACTTTGGCTGCCCAACAGGCACCTGCACTAATTTCTGCACTCCTCTGCCTACGGAGTGGCCTATGGTGGGTTTTGCCCCATTGGCAGGTCCATCTCAGGAATTCCTCAATCCTTAAAAACCCAGTCAAATTGGTTACTAGGTGATCTGGCCACCTGACTGGGATGTGAACTGTGTACGACTCTTTATGAGCTCGTCTGGCCACATTCCATTTGCTTTCTCTGGCAGTGCCTCTCCCTCTTCTGATCACATGCACACAAACACACACACACACACACACACACACACACACACACGCACACACGAGGACATGGCCTGGATCTCCTAAACCCACACATGCACTCTCCAGCCCACCCCAAACCAGCCACATGCTTGGGTGTGTCTGTTTCCACTTGCACCATGGGTCAGCAGCCAGGAAGCACATGGTTGGCCAATGAGGGTTACCTTTGGCTTTTAAAGATGACACTGTCACAGACAGGTCTCTCAACAGATGCACAGTATCCACGGACAATGAAAGAAAAACCCAAGACAAGGGTGTGCTTTGATGGTCTGTGCTGCAGGAGGAAACGTCTCTAAAGACAGAATCTTAGAAGCTGCCGGGACTCACTCACTGAATTTGCCTTTCCTTTAAAATTCACCATTCAGCAAATTCAGAATACTCAGTATGGGTTAGGTGCATGGCCACCATATATATGGTATATCAAAGACAGTGAGCCCTCCTTATCTGTAGGTTGCACATCCCTGAAATCAACCAACCAAATCAACCAACTGCAGATCAAAAATATTTGAAAAAAATTTTTCACAAAATTTCAAAAAGTGCACCATTGCTACACTGACTCCATGAAAATGAAACGATGTGTAGCATTGTATTAGGCATTACTAACAATCCAGAGATGGCTTAAGGCACCTGGAGGATGTGTGCAGGCTGCATGAAAATGCTGTGCCATCTTCTTTCAGGAACTTGTGCATCCTCAGATTTTGGTATCCAATTCCCATAGATAGAGAGGGATGACTGTATATGTGGTTTATGCGTGTGTGTGTGAGAGTACGTATGTGTGTGAATATGCACACATGTAAATATATAGAATATACATGTAAAACACATAGCATAACAAAGCAATCTGGATAAATATCATTTTTGATGGTTTTCATGTGATCCTATGTGCTTTTTTTTTTTTTTTTGAGATGGAGTCTCTCTCTGTCACACAGACTGGGGTGCAGTGGCATCATCCAGGCTCACTGCAACCTCTGCCTCCTGGGTTCAAGCAATTCTCCTGCTTCAGTCTCCTGAATAGCTGGGATTAAAGGCATGCACCACCACACCCAACTAATTTTTGTATTTTTTAGTAGAGATGGGGTTTCACCATGTTGGGCAGGCTGGTCTTGAACTCCTGACCTCAAGTGATCCACCTGCCTCGGCCTCCCGAAGTGCTGGGATTAGAGGGATCCTATGTGCTTTTGAGCAGCCTTGATCTATGCTGGCCTTACTAAGTTTGGGGCCCACTATGGAATGGGAAGCGTGTCCAGGCAGCTGTTTTCTGTCCATACTTCCTTTCAGCGCAGGCCCTGGGGGAGGTTGAGGGTGTGAGGTGCTCCCTGGGAGGACGTTTCCTCCTCCGTGGGATGGGCTTGTTATGCTGAGAGCTCACAGCAACACCTGGCACAGTGCAGGGACCCAGGACAGGGTGGCCTGGAGAGGAGGATGAGTGGGCAAACCGGGAAGAGGACTCATGGGAGAGTCCAAGCAGGGACTTCTCTGTGGACAGGGGCAAGAGGTGGGCAGAGAGGGAAGGCTGGACATTCACTGCGGATAGGGTTATTCCTGTGGCACCAGGCACCACGCTGATCATTTGGGAAATGTCTTTGGAGAGAGACAAGGACCTGTGAAAGTTTTTCTGAGTGACAGAGCACAAGCCACAGCCCAGTGGCCTCTGGAATCAGATGCTGGAAACCATGGAGGCCCAGCTGGAGTCTGCAGGAAAACTCTTGGTGATGGGCGCCTTGGTGGCACGATCAACGTAGGACTTCACCTTGGGTGTGTTGGGGCAAATGCCACCTGTTATGGTCACGCAACCCTGGCGGGGGGCGGAGGTGTTTTGATAAGGTAGGAAGCAGAAGCACACGCATGAGCTCATTTTTACTTGCTTTTTAGCAACCAGCATTCAGTCCCCATGACAACAGGCTCCCATCGGGTCAGGTCTTTGTTCTGCTGCCCTCATCCAGGAAAGGCAACCTCTGTCTGCCTCCCAGAAGTGAGGATACAGGGCAGAGGGCCCCGGGCAGCACCATCGCTGGGACCCAAGGACCCCGACACAGTGACTATTCTCCGAAGCCAGACGACTGGCGTGTGGCCCCCATTGAGCCGGTGAGCTTATGCCTCTCACCAGCACTGTGGGGGCTGACTCTGTGCCTCAGTTGCCTCATCTGTGAAACAGGGATGATAATGTCACCCCCTTAGAGGGCTAATAGGAGAGAGAAAGGAATTGGCTCAGAGCAGCGCCAGCACACGGGGCTCTCGGTGGGGCTAGCTGTTGTCCCTGTGCTTATTCCTCTTCATTCCACTGTGGGAATCCCTCAGTCCCTGAGGGCCCAGTTAGGGACCCTCATGAAGACGGGCAAGACAGTGAGAGAGCGCATGTAGGGGCTGCTGCCACACACAGTCACTCCTGTTCCCTTCCACCTGCTTCCCTCCACCTCCATCTCTCCAAAACGAGAGAATCAGAGCCAGCGCCTCTGCAGCAGGCAGAGAACCTCTGTGTAAATTGGAAAGAGGCTCACTCTCCCAGCCAAGAGATGGGAAAAGAAGTCCAGATAAAGTGCCACTCTGCTGGGCAGCCAGGAGCCAGTGCACACGGTTGTGGTGAGCTGCAGAGAACCGAGTATCAGCCTTCGGAACTCCTAAGGGGTCTGGGCCTACCACGACCTGAAAGCAGAACCGCCAGCAGAATCGAGGGGGCGGAGCGAGGCGCAGGCACAGACTCCCACGAGGATGAACACAGAAACAAAGACCCCAAGGAAGGAACCCCTGCTCCATTGTGGGTGTGAGGCTGCCAGGGACCCGAGCAGGAAACAGTGAGGGCTGAGGGTGGGCTGAAAAGAACCGTAAACTTACAACCACCTATTTATTCCAGGGCCCACATGCCTTTCGTGTTCACACTCATCTCTGGGGAATTCAGCCCAGATTTTACCCAAAGCATTGCATTTCCTTATACTTAATTGGGTGACATTTAGAGGAAAACACATGTGCCCTAAAAGATTCAGCAACACTTGGAGACCATCCTCAGAAAGCCACACCCACACCCAGGAACCAGGCTACCCGCACACGCTCTGGAAAGAAAACCTCATGCAGTGGCTTGGCCGGTTTTGGGAAAACACCTTCGCAGAAGCATCGCTGGGAGCCACGTGCCAACCCCAGGCCCGAGCTGTGCTCGCCCACTCTCCAGGAACCGAGCGCCTCCCCTACCTGAGACCACGGTGAGGCAAACCAGCTGCCCCTCGAGGGTCCTGCAGCAGCAAACGGGGGGTGCCTGGGGCACGGAAACGGGGCACAGGCACGTTCCAGCTCCAGGCTGGGCTTCGGCAAATGCGAGCACTTCTTTGAGGCCAGCTCTCGATACTTTCCGGAAACATACTTTTCAGCACATTTTAAGAATCTTTTCTGTGTTCCTCTTTCACATGTCACAGAGCACTAAAAATAGGAGAACAAAAGATGTCGATGAAAAAAAAAATCTCTTTTTTGCAAAATCTGTGGGTTAAAATATCAAAGACACCTGCTTGAACATTTGTATAAGTGTGAACATTCAGTGAAAATCGTTGAACCTTAGCATTTTTAAGAGACATTATAGAATCTATCATTAAAAATAAGAGGACCTTGAGGGCATCATGGGGCATAAGTAGGGGCAGGACAGTTAGAAACCATGAAGGGAATAATTGTAAAGCTACCGTTTCACTGGAAAATTTAAATGTTGGGCTGTCATTGCTAATGGAACATACTGAAACTTAATACATAAGTACACGTGGTAACTACCACGGCTCCACTCCATAGATTGACCCACCCAGCTGCAGTGATGTTAGTTCCCAAAGCAGGGGCAGGTAGAAGAAACTCAGGGCTCACAATCTTCCCTAGGAATCCGAGTGCTGCCTGTGAGGAAAGGAAGGGTGCATGGAGAGCAAATCCCTTAGCTCCCCACTAAGGCAGGCTCTAAGCTTGAGCTGCTCCAGTTGCAGACACCCTGGCTTATGCAGAGGTGCCCTGTGCAAAGTAGCAGCCCAGGCAGGAGGCTGCAGCCCCCGCTTGCCGGGAGAACACACAGGAGCAAGGTACACTGTCCCAGCACAGACTGGGCACGGAGGGTCTCTGGGGCAGAGGTCCTGGCTCCCGGCGTTGCTCTCTCCTGCTGGGGTAGAGTGGACGATGTGCAGCTCCAGTGCACCTCTGGCTGAAGTGCCCTCAGGTTCCCCAGCAGAGAAGCCCAGGTGGCAACACCTGCCCAGGTCCTGACCTCACATTCACATTTTTAGGCTTACAGGTGTGCTTTTTGTGCATCCTGATGGAAGACGGAGAGGAGTTGGAACACTCCTCTTGGTTGCTTGCTGATCCAGGCCTAAGAGAGAAGCTCTGGCATGCGTGTGTGTGTGGTGTGGGATGTGTGTGTGTGCATGTATTAAATTTCAGGGCAAGGACTGTCTACCTGGACACAGCCCACAGATTATATAGCCCATGTCACTTATTTTCTGTAGACTCTGCCTCTAGGGATATGTACCCAGGGACCTGCGTTTTCCAATGACAGTACATTCAGTTCTATGGGACACTCATTCCTACCCTCCAGGTGAAAGAGGACCTGAAGTACATTGTTACCAATGGCAAGCTCACTTAAGCGAGCAAGGGTGCTCTTATTTTTTAGTGACAAACTGAAACAGTGTCTCAACAGGATTCAATGCCTTGCTTGGCACTGCCTACCAATCTGAACAAAGTAGGCATCGTTCGAGGGTGGGGAAAACACAGTGCCTGATGAGACCTGGGTCCCTCCCTGAGGAGCATGGTATCAGGGAGGAGCTTTCTTCCCACAACTGCTGTAGCAATACAGAGGCGCAGCTCTGGGTTACGGTAATCTCTCAGTACCCCGTTCAGACAGGTTCATGCTTGGCTGGTGGTGCTGTTACCACGCTGTGGGGTGTAAGATTTCCGAAGCGCTTTTGGAACCATTTGGTCCAAAGCTAGTCATGAAACCATCAGTATTCCAAACTAATGATTCCAGTGTTATTCCCATGATGAAGGGGTCCAGGACAGCTCCTGAATGGTGCAGAAGAAAGGGCTTCCCAGCCTCCTGCAGCACCAGGTGACTGATTTCAATAAAACTAACAGGAGAGTTTCCTTTCACAAACAGAACAGCTGCCCCCAGAAACTTGTCTCAGGAGATGGGTACTGTTTCTTTCCAAGCAACCCATGTTCTTCTGGAATGTGGCTACACCTGCCCAGGAGTTATGTGATCCCCTATTCTCACGCTCACACCCCCTCAATCCTCTCGTCCCCTGCTCCACTCCGGACCAGTGATAAGGACATGGATGCCACTGTGTGAGATGCCCCCAGGACATGATTCAGAAGCCAAAGGAAATGAAGCAACCCCATGAAGTTGATGGAAGCCGAGAGGGTGGTCTGAAGCTGGCAGACCAGAAACTTGGCAGTGCAAAGAAGTCAAGAAGAGATAAAAAGAGAGAAGAGAGAGGAGCGGGAAGAGGAAAACCAGGAGAGAAGAGGCAGTCCTGGTGGGGAAATCTGGTGAACCTTGCTCCCCCGAGACCAGGGTGCACCTACCTGGGACCAGGCGGACACCAGCCACTGCAGCTTTTTGGGCTTGTGGCAGCGCTGAAGTAGACAGGCTTCATGCATCCTGGGCTTGGGCTCTGAAGTGCAGACAGTGTCGGGCAGCAGCTGCGCTCTGGCCGAGGGGTTGGTGCTCTTACAGGCCACTGCCCGCTTCCTCCACCCCTTCCCACAGGTGTGTGAGCACTGCACAGAACAGTCAGGATCAGCACCCAGCAAGGACCACGTGCAACACAGCAGATCATGCAGGGGACCTGCCACCACCCATGCCAACCCCGCCCAGGTTACCTCTGCCCAGGGCCCGGTGCTCCATGCCGGTGGGCAGCTCTGAGAGTTGCAGGCCTGCCTGGTGGAGGGAGCAGGCTGTGGGCACAGGCTGGCTGGGACTGGCTCTGAGTCATAGTGCACGCGCCGTGTGCACTGCACCGGGCGGCTCTGGGCACCCCCGCCGCATGTCCGACTGCAGGCACTCCAGTTCCCCACGGACCAGCTGGGCAGGGACAAAGAGACCTTGGTGAGGGATGGCTCCATCACTCTGACAGAAGTGGCCCCACACCTGATGTGGAGGTGGCGGCAAGATTTCCCAGCCACGGTCGTGTGTGTGCAGTTATTTTCAGTTCCGCCGTTCCCGGGTGAGCACTCCTGCCAGAGCCTCCCTGCGCCTGCTGTTTCTCACCTTCCTGATCCTGATTCATGCTATGCCATTCTTTCCCCTCCTCTGGCTTTTGGGTTCTGGTGGACTTGGAAAAGACCCTATTCGGCACAGTGTGTCTGTTCTCTTCTTTTTTAAAAAATGCAAAATTTCAAACATATAAAATATAACACATCTATGGGTTCCTGTCCACTCAACTTTCACAATGTCAGTGTATGTCCCCAACCCCTACTGCATTTTGAAGGTGATTCCAGACATGAACATATCTCAGTATGAATCTCTAAAAAATAAGGATGTTTAAAAAACATAACCATAATATCATAACATCTAGAGCACTAATGATTCTTTAACATCACTGAAGAGTTAATGTTCCAATTCCCAGCTGTGTCATCAATATCCTAATTTGATATGTTTGTTTGAGGAATCCAAATAAAGTCCAGACTGTGCAACAGATTCACATCTTCTCTTTCAGGCTTTAGGCTTTCCCTTAAATTTTGTTTATTTTTATGTTTGCTGTATTCGTTAAAGAAAGAGGATATTTCCCTTACTGAGTCTTCTACAGTGTGGAAGTTGATTTTTTGCTGATTACAGGATTCTTGGAATTACATCTCTGTGATGTTGGTTCATGTGTTCTTCTGTCCTCTATTTTTAATTCTTTAGTAGTTTGTTCTAGTGGCTTCTTCAGATTCTGGTTCAACTTTCTCATATCATTATTTCGTAAGTGATCACGCATTCTTCCAGCAGGAGGCTCAAGATGTCAGAGTATCTTTCTTTCAATTTGTTAGCAGCGGTGGATACTTGTAAAGTGTTTTTCTTTCCTGGTGATAAAAGCATACCCCGTCAACATGCATGTTGTCAGGTGATGGGGTGCGGAGTGAAGTTGGAGCCAGGCTTTGTCCAGTGGGGTCACCTTTGATCGAGACACTGTGCCTGAGTGTGTCTACCAAGCCTCAGCTGGTTTTCACAAGCCCATCTGCAGGAGGGACTTGGTGTGCACCTTGGAGAGGTTGTCAAGAGGAAGGGGGAATCATGGCCCCACAACAGGGACTCACTGGGACGGAGGGCTTGAGCTCCCTCCTGGAGTCACTTCTGAGGACTTGACGATTTCCATTCATGTTAATTTCCCTGTGCAAACCCCTGTGGGCCAGTCACAAGGGGATGGGAGGGGAGCTGGCTTCCTCACCACCTCCTTGCAGCACATCAGTGCAGGGCACCAAGGGTCCCACCTAGGGGTTGCCTGCAAGGCTCTGCCTGCAGCTGTGTCTGTGCTGAGGACCCAGGGCAGGGGCATCCTGTGTTCCACTCTACAGCATTGCTGAGTAGAGGTAGGGCAACAGTGACTTGCTCCTGAATCTCAGGGTAAACCTGAGGACTTGTGAAGATGCCCAGGCTTCTCCTTTGACCCTCCATCCTGTGCTCCCACACTGAATCCCACAGTCAACCTCAGGTTTAGGTGTCAAAGCAGAAGCCCAGGGAGCTTGGCCAGGAACTCCGGAGGTGCCTCTGGCAGCAGCCACGGCACCTGGGAGAAGTATTCTCGAGGATGGCATTTGTGGACCCAAGTTACACAGAGAGAGACAGAAAGGAGAAGGGAAATCCACCATGATTCCTCCTACGAACATCACTGCGACGATTTCCTCACTCCTGCTTCCGGTGCTGTCTGTGTGTAAACATATTTTTAACATGGTCAAGAGCAGGCAGTATATGCAAGTTTTATTCAGCATTCAAAAAATTCATTGGCAGGCCGGGCGCGGTGGCTCAAGCCTGTAATCCCAGCACTTTGGGAGGCCGAGACGGGCGGATCACGAGGTCAGGAGATCGAGACCATCCTGGCTAACACGGTGAAACCCCGTCTCTACTAAAAATACAAAAAACTAGCCGGGCGAGGTGGCGGGCGCCTGTAGTCCCAGCTACTCGGGAGGCTGAGGCAGGAGAATGGCGTAAACCCGGGAGGCGGAGCTTGCAGTGAGCTGAGATCCGGCCACTGCAGTCCAGCCCGGGATGCAGAGCAAGACTCCGTCTCAAAAAAAAAAAAAAAAAAAAATTCATTGGCTAGGCTGGGTGTGGTGGCTCATGCCTGTAATCCCAGTACTGTAATTCCAGGCTGAGGCAGGAGGAATAAGCCTAGGAGGAAAACTCTTAAGCCTAGAAGCTTGAGATCAGCCTGGGCAACATGGCAAAACCCTGTCTCCCACACAAAAATTACAAAAATTAGCTGGGTGAGGAGATACACAACTGAAGTCCCAGCTACTCGGGAGGATCACTTGAACCCAGGAAGTCAAGGTAGTGGTGAGCTGTGATTGTACCACTGCACTCTAGCTTGGGTGACAGAGCGGGACTCTGTCTCAAAAAATAGAATAGAATACAATAAATAAATAAAAATAAAAATTCATTGTCCAAAACAAGCGTTTTTCTTATACTTCAAAGCCTTTATAAACACATTTCAGTGTTTCTCTAATTCCACAATCTGGATCGAGGTATGCAGATATCTAAGTAAGAAAATACAGACAAAAAGGTTCGGACCTCAAGCTCCAGGAGATCCAGGAATATCCTGAAACTGCCTCAGTTCTATGCATGCCTGGCTGGACGTGATTTCTGAGCAAAATGATGAGGGCCTCTCCTCAAGTTCTCCAGGGAGTCTGTGACTCAAGTAATTTTAGAGCCAAGGTTTGGACTCTTCTGAAAGTCCCGAGGATGAATTAGGTGGCAGAACCTCGAAGGAGAGGGAAATTGATGGGAAACAGAATTGATTCCACCCCGAACATACCACATGACTTACGGCTTTCAGATCGAGCACCATGATAGTTTTACATTCTTTGGTTTGTAGAAGCTTTGAATTATTTTCCACCAAGTGTTTTTACTGAAAAGATTCAATTGTAGTTTTAAGAAAATTATGAAAAGACTAAAATGTAAATTGTGTCCACATAAAAAGTAAACATGTCAGGGTTGTAGGAGTTGCCCTATATGGATTGTGGTAATGCTTCAATTTTTCAGTGTCAACAAGATTAGTGTTTTTTCTTTAATTCAATGTTAAGCCACCTAAATTACATATCCTCATTATGAAAGATTGATTATTGGCTTCCTGGCTGTGATAATTCTGCAGGTAAAGCCTCTCGGTTACTCTGTGGCCGCTTCTGTGTGCTTTCCTGTTGTTTTTAACTTTCCTCCCATTTCTTACATTTGCTCTCTCAATCATGCAGCCTTATAAATTACAATGGGTGTTCTACACTGTGTTGGCTGTTCAAGAGCTTTTCACACCGCCTCGTTAAGTCTTCTGTCTCCACCACCTTAAGACGTTCCAACTGGGTGGATCCATTCTCTGCCTTCTCTCTTAGCTGCACATCATTAAAACAGTCCTCCTGAACAAAGCTCCTTCATACCACATCTGGAAACACCAAGTGTCTGTTTTGTTTAAAAAAACCGAGCTTTTAGGGGAATGTCTTCATTTCAGCTCATGAATGAGTCAAACTCCACGCAAGCTTCTGTGCTAATGTCTGAGGGTTCCACGAACGGTAATAAGCTGTGTTCAGTAGCTCACCAGTGGCCACAAGGGTTCTCATTTTGTTTTGGTTTTCCTAAGTCCACCAACTGGAAGAATGCAAAGTGGCTGGTATTACCCAAATCAGTCAGTTTCCAAGGCAGGACTCTGGAGACTCAGTTCCCACTGACCCTCAGGACCTCCACTGCCCAAGGCTCCCTCCCAGGGTGCACCTTTGTGGCTCTCAACACTGCCCAGAAAAGTGATGGGGTTTATAGCCTTCACTGAATAGTCTACCTAGGATTTCCTGGTACCATCTAATCAATATGCAATATCCCTAATGCCAAACAGTCTTTAGTCATTTCTCAACAAAATGACTCCCTCTTCCCCATTAAAAAAAATTCAAATGACATGTTGGCTTTTGCATGTAATGCTTTCTTTGAAAATGCCAGTTTCCAAAAAGGGTTTAGCAATGTCCCTTGTCATGACGCACCACACAAGCAGATTATGTGTCCTAACGACAGCTCAGACGCAGAGGCCAGCCCTGGGCTGGACCCGAGCTGCTGCCTAGGGCCCAGCCCCACCAGGGCAGCCGTGTTCTGCCTGCGGCTTTCACATCAGCACGTCTCCCTGAGCCTCACTTTCAGAATTTAGTTTCAGTGTCTTTTGTCTGCTGATTCTTTTTGAAATTTCACCATCCAGCACTCTGTGGTTCTATTTTCAAGAATAACTCTAGGAATCCTACACAGGAATCTCTCATAACACAATAAAGACAGAGAATAACAATGGGGCAGAACCCTTGTCACGGCACAAGCCTACACGAGGCATTGATGAGGGTCAGGGTTCCAGCTGCCAGCTGGATTTAGTCCAGAGGGATGGGTGCTGGATGCCGTGAGATGCAACATTAGAACACAGCATTCATTACGCCGTGCCTCTTCAGCATCGGAGTTAGACGTGGGGACTCCTGACTTCCGCATGCTGGTGTGTGGGTCACAACTTCCCAGTAGGCTGTTCTAAATGAAACCGTTCCTGTCACTGACTATACCCAGATACTCATACACTGCAGACTCAATGGCCCAGGGGTCAAGACAGCTGCCAACATGGTCTGACAGGATCAATATTGCTTGGTTTTCAAAGACACAACAACCTTGTCTTCATATAAAATAGCAGCATCTTCATGTGTATAATTTAAGATCTAATGTAAGTAAATTGAATGTTTTAAAGATAACAATGCACATTCAACAATAAACAGGTGACAACTGGAAAAATCTGCCTCTTCCACAGGGAAAACATTAGTTAACAAATTAACTAAGAGTGCAGGCCAGCTGTAAGCTGAAAGCACAGAACCCAAGATCAGCAG